AAGGTTTTATTTTGATAAATCACACAGTGGTGTTATACAGCAAGTAATATTAACTGATGCGACCACGTTTCGAGCACAAACTATTGCTCGTAACCATATCAAGTCACCCACACAACCTTTTACTTCATCTATATTCATGAGTGAAATTTATGAATAGACATTTGAATAAAAATCAATATAGGATAATGTGCATTCAGAATTATTAATATGAAAGTTACTGATCAAATACAGTTAGATGGGAAATAAGACGAGTGATTTATAATCGAAATAAATAAGTAACTTGTCAGAATGTTGTGATGTACATGAATTGAAATAGAATTTTGAGATTATTTATTATCCTCCTCTGATTTGACTGACTGGTGGTAATAATATCTTCCATGCATATCTCTGGTATTTGCATTGAGTCACTTCTGTTGCATGTGTTAGGTGTGGAATCAATGAAGCAGGCAGGATTCAGTAATCAGTCTCTCTCTCTCTCCAACTACCTATATTAGAAATTTGACTCTGTCTCACCCACCCTATTGTGTGGTTGTTTGTTAACGCATGCACTGTGATTGCTGAGTTTTTCTGTAAATTACTTATCTTCATGGGATCAATCATTCTAAGCTTAGCTAAATTCTTATATTCTGATAATCTCACTCCTTCTGATCTACTAGTTTGTCCTATGTAGTTGACTTCACATTCATTGCAAGTTATTGTGTAAATTATATAATTTTTTTTAATTGGGTCCACCGGGTCCTTTAGCCTACAGAACTTGTTTCGGAGAAAATACCAGAAATATAGAAGATATTATTACCAGTTAAATCACAAGATAAATAATCTTAAGATTATAATTCAATTCAATTCAATTACATCACAACATTCTGACAAGTTACTTATTTATTTCGATTATAAATCACTCGTCTTATTTCCCATCTAACTGTATTTGATCAGTAACTTTCATATTAATAATTCTGAATGCACATTATCCTATATTGATTTTTATTCAAATGTCTATTCATAAATTTCACTCATGAATATAGATGAAGTAAAAGGTTGTGTGGGTGACTTGATATGGTTACGAGCAATAGCTTGTGCTCGAAACGTGGTCGCATCAGTTAATATTACTTGCTGTATAACACCACTGTGTGATTTATCAAAATAAATTCTTATCTATAATGGAAATATACTCAACCACAATGCCCAAGTTGTAAACTTACAGCAGTAAGACTTTATTTGCTTCGTTTGAACAACACCTCTTAACTTAGGTAAGCAAGTCTTAAATGATGGGTTTGTTGAAAGAAGCTGGCATCATTCAAGTAATTTACTTACCTTTGATGTTGAAAACCTTCATTTAGAACTTAACTATTTATAGTTAGGCTAGTCAAACCGCTCGCTCTTTGATCTGAAAGTCCAGGATTGGATCCTTGGTGGACTTATGGGTGGTTACAGTCGAAGACTCCCAAACAAAAGAAAAGCAGCTCTACAGTATCCTCTGGTTAGGTCAGTGGTTCAGTGGTAAGATGCACACTAACCATGCACGCGGTCCAGGTTCGACTGCCAGAAAATGGACTTCTGAACAACCTTATCAGAAAATTCTAATGTTATTGCCGGTATATGGATGACACCTTCATTCTTCGTGATAATAATTCGCATGGGAGTACAATAATAACTCAATTCATTGAAGTACATTTTGCTATCAAATTCACGTGTGAAGAGGTATCCCAAAATAGAACTACCTTCCTGGATATCCTCCTTACAAGAAAACCAGATAGTAATATAAAGAGAAATTTCCATTGGGAAAGCACATGGACAAGACAATATACACATTTTCAAAGCTTCGTTCCCTCAAGTACAAAATAAAATTCAGCAAGGACCCTCAGCTATAGGGTATGAGCTATATGCTAAGAAGAGTTAGCTGAAGATGAACTAAGGGTTGTATATTATACCTTGATTGAAAATAGCTATCCAGACAAACTTATGAAGAAACACATGACAAAGAAAGCGAAAAGGACTACTCACTATCCATAAACAAGAAGCCTTCATATACACGACTGCAATTCAAAGGAGATATACCAAGCGAAATAATTACGAAGACGTTAAGAAAATCTGTGCAAAGAACTTTAAATGCTGCGAACTACAAATCCTATTTTCTACACGACGGATGGTGATTTCTTGACTGAAAGATGAAGTACCTAGACTAGTTAGCCACTTCTAATTGTATATACCAATTCAGCTGCGCCTGTGGAGCGAGTTATATCGGCCGCCGCTCTAGGAACTTGATTTGTCGTGCTCTCTCGGGAACATCTCCCACTATGGCTAAGTAGAGCTGTAGGTTAAAGCAATAACAGTTCGATATTGGACCATCTGATGCAAACCGGCCACAAAGCCAGCCAGCATTGAAGAATCCTTCTCTACCATCTACATGGTGCCAAATAAATTGCCTAAAACATCAAAGTACCGCATGCTCCAAACAGTAGAGTCTATCGTGATTCACTTCAAACAACCAGTGCTCTATGTGCAAAAGAAGAAAGTCCAGCCCCCACTACTGCCCTTGCAGACTTTCAGTAGAGACTATAAATTCATTTTTCTGACATTCAATCTATTGTTATGTTGATGCAATTGAACTGTAATCTGTTAATATTATTATTGATTCTATGTTATTTAAACAACACTAATGTTGTTCATAGCACTAATTCATTCATTCACTATTATCGATGGATATATAACTGTAGAGCCTGATGAAGAAGAGATTATCGAAAGAGTATTCTTTGTTCAGTAACCATTTTTTTTGATAAATCTATGTATACATATGACTGCATAGCCTGGTGGTAAATCCTTTGAGAATAGTCTTTTTGTTGTTGTACATAGTGTTCTTCATGTTTCTATCGTAGTTATTATATAAATTAGAAACGAACGCCATTTAATGAAGAGCAACTTATTCCCAGGCCGTACAATCACTGTATAAACAAATATAACACTGAATTGTAAAAACGATAGGAAAATATGTTTTCGACAATACCTCGAGAGATTACAGGCTCAATCATTGTCCAGTATACTCGAAATTAATTAAGCAACTAATGAATTCGTGCATTTCGATTTCTTTTTTTATCAGACAGATAAGAGTGTGATTATGCTTAATGAGATGTGAATAAGGCATTACTTTAGTGCAAAGTAACAGCAGTCAGACAACATGACGTCAACGTGTGTATATTGTATGTATATGTATTTATACTGAAAACAAAGATTAGACAAACAGTGCCATGAAACTGACCTGTGGGAAATAAGTTGTCAACATAACGTTCATTAAGTTGTTTTCTTGGCTTTATGCTTTTATGTGTTAGGCGTATCTCTTAGCTAAATTATCTTTAGTAATTTAGCTTGAAATAGGGTTTATATCGTTTTCAACCTATGTGGAATAATTAAGTAGTCTTCAAATATTTGATTGCAGGCATTTGACATGAACTGATATCATTCAGAGTGCCACTGAAAACCAGAGACAACATGACAACTGTTTCAACTTAGTTCGGCACTCTTTCACAGTACGCATCCATGAATTCATCATGGATACGTGTAGTCCAGGTAGAGTTCATGAATTCAAATTCGACGATAAATATTCGGTTCCCGAAAAGGTGCTGAAAAACAACGGTTATCCTCAAGGATTCATTAACATATATGGAAGATGTGAAGACTCAAATACCAAACAAATCACAGTTGAAAAAAAGCCTGTCTTCATTCAACCAAATTTTAAAGGTGAAAACATTGTAGAAATGGTCAACAGAAAACTGAGAACGTCATAAGCCAGAGCCTATCCTGCAGCTAAGTTGGTTCCCGTCCATCGAACAATATGCTCTTTGGTGCTGTCAAAAGTCGATAGATACCTTTCGCGTGTTAACTGCAACTGTGTTTACAAATTAACGTATATCTGCGGAAGCAGTTGCACTGAGAGAACAGAAAGGAGGGCACACCTACGATTTTCTGAACATTTGCCGAAAAGCCTACGTCTCAAGGGAACAAACTCTTACTGTAGCGTTATTACCAGACATCTCCTGGACACGGATCATGAGGTGGAAATCAAGAAATCCTTTAAAATTATCAATAGATAAAGGAGTTCCATCCTCCTCAAGTTTGCCGAAGCTATTTCTATCAAACGCTTGAAACCAGATTTATGTGTTCAGAAAGAAGCAGTTATCAATCTTTTCTTGCCCTGATAACTGGATTTCTTTATTCTCTCATTTGATTACGTAATCTTTGGCTTTAACCTCACCTCTTTGATACAGTGTAATTTTGATTGTCTCTTGTTTCTATGATTTGAGTTGAACTCAGTAAATTGTTACCTAATTTATAAGTCACTCAGAATCGTACGCATCTCTCTTTTTTATTACGTAACTCCTTTACAACTGTATGCATGCATTTAATTTGTTTGAACTTGAAATGCCGGTGTAAAAACTGTAGAAGCGGGATTTTTTGAGTACTGTTCATTAATTGTGGAACTTTCTGTCAACTGACATCATAAAAGAATTTGCAATTATGTTAAAACTTTTCTGCACGTAAACCTCATAATTTATTTAGACTATAATCAGATGAGCTGATGAGAAGCAAACGAAATAAATGATGGTACCATATTGTTCTGCACAAACCACTGTGTTGTTCTTGCTTTATTCAAATACTCGACGATAACATTGGCTAGTGGTACCGGCATGTGTTGCGAATCAGTAGATCAGTTTTAATTCAAAGGCCATTAGATTTCGTGGTTCAGTTGGTCTGCATACCCACCTTGTAACCTAAATATCCTGGCTGATGGGTGCCTACGGATGAGGGGTCTCAAATTCAAGCAAAACTTTCACTCCACATTCTTTAGTTTTCCATGTCTCTTTAAGTGACTCCGGTTCCTGACGGAACCTGGTTGAAATCACATAGTCCCCGGAAATGCTTCTATTGTTTGTATTTCATAATCAAGGATATTTCTGTTAAGCTAAATGTCTTCTGATTTTTATTTTTAATTTTATGTTGTTTTACAGAATACCAGTATTATGAGCAGTTCGTATGCATTATTATCATTGAGTATCGATCGGTGTATTGCAATAAAGTGGCCATTTTCAAGAATTTATGACCAAGGTAATTCATTACTTGAAGTTTACTTTTGTTGTTGTTGCACAGTGAATAACACAAACTTAGTTGACAAAACATTACAGAATAGGACGCTTTAAAAGATTTTTGCATTCATATATATTCTTAAAATATATGAATACAAATTTACATGTATCTGAGGGAGTAGTTACATTGGAAGAACAGAAAAAAGGCGTACCTCGGATTTTCTGAACATATACCAAAAGACCTATGTCTAAGGGGAACAAATGACTTAAACAGTGCCATGGCCGGTTATCTCCTAGACACGGGTCATGAGGTGGACGTCAAAAAATCGTTCAAAATTATCAGTAGGTAAAAGAGTTCGATTCTCCTAAAGTTCGCCGAAGCAATCTCCATCAAGCGCCTGAAACCCAAATTATGAGTCCAGAAAGAAACGGTTATCAGTCATTCCTTACCATGGTAAATAAATACATTTATCTCCTCTTTCATCTGATTATGTAACGCTAAAAGATTCCATTGTGTATGATTATTATTGTTTGGCATAAAGCGTTTATCTTTATTAGAATTTGATGCATATATTGATTGATTTTCTTGGTGTGGTTGTGTTCTCTGAGCTGGATAGTTTATTTGCGAAGCTTTCATTGTCCCCTAAAAGGCAACATCTTCAGTGCATAATTCAATTTGAAGTGGACTTTTAGATTTATCCACGAGTTTACCAGTCATCTCTCCTGGTGGTTACCTTGAATGTGATAGCTTCTTTTTATGTGTTTTTATACCCTCTAGGGTACTTGTATTGGAACCGATTGTTTCCTTCACTTCAATTTTGACTCTTTGTGTGTGAGGTTTTCTTCTTATCACTTGGTAAATTTTGTCTATCTCGATGTGTCTATTGGTTGGCAATTCACTGGAATACCAGGCTTCTAAAAATTCACAGGAGAAGAGGAATCCGAGAACAAAATCACATTTTTGAACATCATAGTCAAGCGAACATCCATAGGGGAATTGGAAACTTAAGTTTATACAAAATCAACTCACACGGAACAAGTACTGAATTACAACAGTAACAATCCAATAACATACAAAAGGAATTGTATACGAACACTGTTGAAGAGGGCCACAACTCTTGGCAGCACTCCAAGATATCTCATGGTCGTCTTCCAAAAGAATGGATATCCACGGAATTCCATCAAAAGACATCTAACACCAATTCAACCTATCAAATCAAAGGCTTCTAATGAAAGCACAAAGAAAATCACCCCACCATGTATAAAGGACATCTCAGAAATCATCACAAGACTCTTCAAACCTTTAGGAATTGACATAGCACACAAACCAACGAAATCACTTCACTCAGATGGCTCTATGTCAACCAAAAGACTCAACAACAAAGAAGACAAGACCAACATCATCTACAAAACAAATCGTAACAACTGCGAAAAACACTACATTGTTCAAACTGGACGTCCCTTTCATCTTCGCATCCATGATCATAAGCTAGCCGTCAAAAGACATGACATCCACTCCATCACTCATATCACTACATACAGACAACCATGGACGTTATTTCGACTGGGACAACGAACGTTCAAATATTAAACAGAGGAAACACCAAGAATGCTAGGGAATGTTTTAGAAGCCTGGTACTCCAGCGAATCGTCAATCAGTAGACACATGGAGATAGACAAAATTTACCAAGCGATAAGAAGGAAATCTCACACACAAAGAGTCAAACTTCAAGTCAAGGAAACAATCAGTTCCAATACAATGCAATACAATAAAATACAAGTAACTGTCTAGAGGGTATGAAAACACACAAAAGCAACCAAGCACGACGTTGAGGGTCACCCACCTAGAGAGATCACTAATAAACTCGTGGAGAAATCTGAAAGCTCACTTCAACGAATTGAAGTATGCGCTGAAGATGTTGCCCAGTAGGGCAATGAGAGCTTCGCCAGTAAACTATTCAGCTCAGAGAACACAACCACATCAAAATCATCCACCTGAGCAACAAATCTGCATCATATCTGACGGATTTTTTGTTTGAAATAAACTCTGTGCAAGTATTTTAAAAGTGTTTTTGTAGATATACCTAATAATGACTTTTGCCAGTAAGCAGCTGATGAGAGGCCTACGAAATGAACACTGATGTTGCCATTTTATTCTTCAAAAACTGTTTTATTTGCTTTATTCATAGTTTCACATTGCTGTTAAATGCTTCATAAAGTAAATCAACAGTATTTTACAGTATGCAGTGATAAATAAAGTACCGGAATGAAGTAACCGTAACTTCCTGTGTGTGTCCAATTCATTAGCAGGTTCTTGGTTTGTTCGTTCCCACAGTTTCATGTTGCGTATTTGTGATTTCCTTACTGGTATAGACAGTCATTCAGATGAACTCACTTTCTGCTTTGTAATTTGTGGTATCAGTCATATGGCATGTAGTGGACTAGATTATAGACACGGTGGGAATACGTTATGTCAAAATAAGCCACGATAGTAGAAGGTAAGAGAATGATGTATGTATAAATCACATTTATTAAGGATCAAACACTGTCAGAATTCCCTGTTACTTGAGAGTAAAGTCTAGTCCACTAGATATAAATTTTAATAACATAGTTCGTAGAATCACGTGGCACCCCCATTGACGACACTTCTTCACTGAGAGTTTGCTGATCTGGTTGTTGAACTGTTACTGATTGGGCATTTTCTATAGGTTTCCTGAAGGACGATCAATTGTTATAATGGCTGGAGGGTCACCATAGCTTATGAGAACAGAATATAACCACAACAAAAAATATATGTATTTATCTGTATTAGCCTTGTAACGACAAAAAACAAGGACCAGGCAACAGTTCATTTATTCAGAAAATTAGGAGGAATTTCTCGATTTTTATGTGCATTATTATTAGCGTTATTGTTTGCGGGGAAGCAACTTCTTCTGATTGGTTGTTTTCTTGCTGAAGGTTATTCTCTTATCTCTTTATGGACTTCTTTCTAGAAAATCAAGTTATATATCTGTGAATCATATTTCCAAACTTTAACTCCACTGTGATTGGCTGTAGATCTCCCCAAGGTTAAGCTTTGTTATCGTTATTCACTTGACCCCGATTCGGGAAGTGCACGTTGACATAAATTGTTGTCTATAACTTTTGACGTGCAGGTAGCTCTCACCACAGCCTTACAGGAAAATGTATTCGTCAGAAGTTTTACATTAGTGGTGTAATTTGTAATGATATACAAGAGGTACCGCACTCATGTTTTGTCGCTAGAAAATGTGGAAAATTTCTTAAAAGGGAATAGAAAGATTTTTCTTGACTCAGAAGAATTCAAATTACTCTGTTTTAATCACAGATCTCTATTGTTATTATAAAATTTTTTGTATTTCCCAATTAACAAAAAACAAAACGATATTGTTATGTTCACTGACGTTTCGCTATTCGATGAAACTAGTAGCTTTATCAAAAGTATTATTAAACCAGAATTTAGAAAATCTCAGCTTATATATAACAACTTAATCATCTTTCCTCAGCATGGGTTATTTTTGCTTTGTCGAATCGGCCAATCGGTAAAGATAACAAAACCATATGTAGATTCTTGAATTCAATCTTTTTCATTTCTCCAGGTTCCCAGTGGAACATAGGACTTCAAGCTAGAGGCTTGAAGTTTCGGTAGGAGGTTGCTAGCCTCATGCCCAACCTTTCCTATTTAACAGCTTTATTTCTGTCTTAGTAAGGTAAAGGAGTGCATCTGTGGCCGGTGATTGAATCCCGGACCATGTGCATGGTCGGCGAGTGTTCTAACCGATGTGCCACCGACGCATGCGTATGAAAGTATAAAAGCAGCGTGTATATAATGGAGTCACTGATCACATTCCTGCTGATTTTGTCATGTCATATACCCACCGCCCAAATTTTTTTCACACTGTCTAAAGTGAACTGTGTTTGGACATATATAGATATCTATTGTGCTTAGATTAAGTACATATTCCTTGAATATTATCATTATTTTAAAATGAAATTCAAAATAGTGTTTAACATGAGTTTAGATCATTTTAATTGATGCTTTGATCACTCTTATTTTAGATCTTTATACGATAACATTGTGCGGTTTAGGGTGGTTATTTGCCCTATTTTTCAATATCCCATCACTGATTTTCTTCCAAATATCCCAGTCACCTCGATTCGGTGTACAATGTAGCATTTCTTGGCCACCTTTATATTGGAAGGTTAGTGTCTTTTGTCTTAGTAAACAGTAATTCGTATTGCTTTACTAAAGTATGCATGATTCCTTACTAAAATCTGAGAATCGATTGAAAAAAAACACATTGGAGAAGAACAGCATAGATCCATTTTAGTTTGTAGGTTCTCTCCAGCTGCTAACAAACTGTAACATTTTAAATACTACTTATCATACGATTTTTACACAGTTTTGTTTTTCATGACCCTTGTGTTTTTTGTCACTGGGATGTTGTGACATGATGCTTTCTTAGAGGAGTGCTTCCTATCAATAAACAAAATTATGTTAAAATCGTATTATAACTAATTTTACAGGTTCTTACAGGAGTAAGACAAGGCTGTCCAACATCACCCATGATATTCCTAATTGTGGTGGACTGGATTATGCGGCAGATTTCATGTGACGAGTGATCTGAACTTTGCAAATAATTTGTGTTTAATGACACTAAAACTCGATGAACTACGTGAGAAAACCAACAAACTAGCAGAAGAGGTAGACAGAAAGGACAAGATATCAAGTTAACTCAGAGAAATCGGAGGTGAAAGCGATAGTCAACCGACAACAGCACCCAGTAGCAATCACTGTCAACAGGAAGAATTCAAGAGTGGCGGGTTTATTTACTTACGGAGGCAACTATAGGCCAATGGCATGGATGAAGATGTCAAAACCAAAATCAGTCAGGCAAGACACTCTGAAATCAGACTGGAAATCTGATGCAATCGGTATAGGGAATAGGAATTCGGATTTCTAGCGCTGATATCAAGTCACTTCTTTGTATCAACACTTTTAGCAATTTTGTCGACAGCAGTCTTCGCCAGCTGGGTATTAAAGACCAAAGGGCCAGTGGAAAGAAATTTCAACAAGAAACTCTGGAAATGAACCAGTAAAAGACCAATTAATCAATAAATATGCAAAAGAAAACGGAAATAGATCGGATATATGTTGTAGAGACCAATGAGTGACATTGCGTGCCAGATCCTTGAGACGAATTCGAACGGGAAATGCTGAGTGTAGCGTTCTAGAGTCATTGTGTCAAGAGGAGATGAGAGACCACGGAAAGTACTGAAACCCACTTGAGATAGGACAAAATGTACACGTGCTAATCCACTCGGAACCCAGGGGCACAATAATAATAGTAATACAGGTCTTACGCCGCTGTGTTTGCTTTCCCTCGTTTCAGTTATTTCGGTTACTCTAGGCATTCGTGTAGTGATTTTGACACACGAATTTTTACTTTAGTCCAGCTATCACAAAAATAGTCTTCAATAATTCGCCATCAAAAGATAAAATATCATAACAGAAAGACAGAATCACTAAAAGAAACTCAACTATCCAGCTAACATATCGTGGGTGTTCATATAAAGTAATCAGTAGGGGACGAAATTAGTTAATAAACTCAGGAACTCGTCGAAGACATTGGCTAGCTGTCGCGATATGTCGTGAATTGGCAAAAGTTAGAATTTATGAGCCATTGGATCTGGTCCTAATGGCTTAATGATCTACCAGCTCGTCTTGTAACTAGAAGGTCCTGGGTTCGAACCCTACTGAGGTGGGTGCGTACTGATGAAGGGTCCCAAACTGGGCTGACGAAACAGCTGTCTAGTACTCCCAGTTTTTCCAGTAGTTTTCTAACCCAAGTCAGCTCATGATGAAATCCTGTAACCAAACTCTGAAACACCGTCCAGTACAATAAGCCACGATTAAACGACTCATTAAATGAATAACTTTTCCTTCGATACTTAATATGGATTCAGAACGCAGGAACAAAATGATTTTACAGAATTTATGTTGGTATGATTATCCTACCACATCCTTTACTGCCATTGTATTCACTGAGCTGGATGATCTGACTGTCAGCCTCCATTTCCCTTCACATTAATATCTCTGACCTTAATTCCACTATGATAGCAACTATTGAAATTCTGTATGGATGAGAAAGAATACATCTTTTATTTTCATACCTACGAATGCAAAAAGACAGTCAAAAGAAATGAAATGCATTTTCTCTAGTTGATACATTTGGGAAATAACGGACGTAAAATAGGACAGAGAAAATGCGAAATATCTGAACTTTAAATCTGTCCTTAGATATAGACATACGTGCATTCTGTATCTAGTAAGATATCCAGGAAGATTTACACATAACTCATTCCATGTCTTTAAAAATGATGTGTATGTCGAAGCGTACTATAAGACATAAGATATAATGTGTTTATGAGTATAAGTAGGATGTTAAAGTATTGGTTTGTAGGGAATTGATTGATTGGTTACAGGATTTCATAATAAGGGGACATCGTTTAGAGAACCATTGGAAAACCTGACAGTACTGTCAGACAGCCGTTTAGTCCTAGATTGAGACTCTTCACCGTACGCAACCACCCCAGTGGGGTCCGAACCCCGGACCTTCCCGCTATAAGGCCAACGAGCTCGTAGACCATTCAGCCAGTGGGACCCGATCCAATGACCAGCCCATGAATTCTTGCTTCTGCCAATTCACGACATAGCGTGACCGCCAGCCAATATCTTCGACGAGTATCTGTCCTCACTCCCAACCTGCTGCACCCTACTGGTCACGACTTCACACTAGAACCCAGGTAACTACATACCTGAAAAGGGCCAGTCGCCTGTTAGTATCTAATTGATATCAAGTAAGTATAATAGTTTTTCAATTTGTTGCATTAGATTTATTGTCATCTCCCAGTATGATTTGTATCAGCTGTTGACATTCAAAGTATATTTATCTATCAACAGAAAGCTGTCGGGAAAATAGACTAAAAATTGTGTCAGGTGTTGGTCTCCAGGGATTTAATTGGTTACAGGAATCAAAACGAGTTGAAATCATTTAGAGAACCACTGGAAAACCTGAGAGTAATGGGCAGCTATCTCTCCTTAGTTTGAGACTATTCAGAGAGACGCACTTGTTGGATGTTGAAATCAGGACCTCCCGGTTACGAGGAGAGCTGGTAGATCATTCAGCTACTGGAACCCAACTCATTTGCCAGTCCATGAATTCCAACTTGTGCCCCTTTGTCATATATATTTTTTGCGACCTCTAGGCAGGGTCTATCAAGCTAGGCGAGTGGAGAGTTACTCGCCTGTGACACTGGCTTAAGGTCGCTCTAAATTATTATTATTATATTATTATTGTTCCCTTGGGTTCCTAGTGGAACATAGGGCTTCAACTGCACGTCTCCATTTGCTTCTGTCTTGTGCTGTACTTTTCACTTGCGTCCATGTTATTCCATACTGTCACCCTTGGACGTCCCACTCGCCGCTTCCCTTTCGGGTTCCACTCGAGCGTTGGCCTGATGCGCGATGTCACTCAACGGCCTCCTCAGCGAGTGTCCAATCCATCTCCACTTCCTCCTGCATATTTGTTGGGCGATTGGTTCCTGTTTCGTTTGTTCCCATAGCTTCTTGTTTGTGATTCTTTCCGACCATCTAATCTTCAGTATGGAGCGAAGACAGTTGTTGATAAAGGTCTGCAACCTGTTGAAAATATTCTTGGTGACCCGCCAAGTTTCTGATCCGTATAGAAGAACTGACTTTACGTTTGTATTGAAAATCCGAATTTTGTTGTTGATGGTGAGTGACGAAGATTTCCAGATTGGTTTCAGGTTGATGAATGTGTTTCTCGCCTTCCCGATTCTCGATTTGACATCCTCGTCCGTTCCTCCTATGGTTGAGACAATGCTCCCTAGATAAGTGAAGGAAGTAACCTCTTTCAAATCCCTCCCGTTGATGGTGATTGGTGCTGGATGTTGCTGCTGTTGTTGGTTGGTTATTTTCATGACCTCCGTCTTGTCTATGTACACCTGCAGTCCTGTCTTTGCTGCTTCTTCGACCAGTTTGTCGGTTTTTGCTTGTAAGTCTTCGATTTTGTGTGACATCAAACATAAATCATCCGCAAAATCCAGGTCTTCTAGGTTCTTCACGTCGGTCCAGGATATCCCTGTCTTCTCGTTTCATGCTGTCTGACGCATAATCCAGTCCACCACCATTAGGAATATCATTGGTGATAATAAGCACCCTTGTCTGACTCCTGTGTTTACTCCAAACGCTTCGCTGAGTTTTCCGTTGTGGACCACTTGACATGTGCCGTTGTCGTACAGCTGTTGAATAAGGTTGATGAATATTTGCGGTACGCCGTAGTACTCGAGTAGTTTCCAAATTACTTCGCGGTCAACGCTGTCGAAGGCCTTCTCAAAGTCTATGAAGTTGAGGTAGAGATTTGATTGCCATTCCATGCTTTGTTCGATGATGATGCGTAGAGTTGCAATTTGGTCAGAACATGATTTGCCTTTCCTGAATCCAGCTTGTTCTGGTCGGAGTTCTGTATCCAGTGCGTCCTTTATTCTCTCCAGGATGATGCGACTCAGGATTTTACTTGGCGTCGACAGGAGCATGATTCCTCGCCAGTTCTTGCAGAGTCCCAGGTCGCTAGAGTCGCTCTAAATATATATCACAAATTGGTAGAAGTTGTATTTCATGGGCTTTTGGGTCGATTCTCAGTAGCTTTACGGTCTGTAAGCTCACCTAGTAACCGGAAGGTCATGGATTTGCCTTCCGATGAGTGCATAGTGCTTTAGAGTCACAGAAGAGGACGAAACAGCTTTGCGGTACTCCCTGCAAGTTCTCAACTGGTCCGCTAGCTGATGTTAACTAGTGATCAGTCTTGAATGTTGTATCTCAAACATTCATTAAAAAATTCTTTATTTCTTGGAACAGACACAAGCAGGTTTAGATTGCATCCAGAATTTTTTGAAATTATTCACATAAGTAAATTATTAACATAGTGTTTACAAATGGTAGTTACTAAATCGTATGGCTAGAAAAAAAGTTACCTGAGAATTCTTCTCTTTGACACAAATACCTGAAAAAAGAAACATCGTGCATAGATGTGAAAGTCATATATTTTCAATTGTTGGTTTGCAGGGATTTGATCACAAGGTGAATTAATTTAGAGAACCAGTAAAATCCAGGGATACTGGAGGGCTGTTCCCTCCCTGTTGCGGACTCTTCATCAGTCCTCAGTCATGCATGGCCTCATAAGGTGTTCAGCCTACGAGGTGAAGTTGAATGTAAGGCTACTGGAACCGAATCAAATAGCCAAACGATCTGCTTTCCTCCAATTAGCAGAATTTCTGAATTTTTTCAGAAGAATTACATTGGATTACAGTTCTGCAGCATCAAAATAACAATACACTGAATATCAGAAAAATTAGGAGAAATAATAATACAAATGCGTGATTTTTAGTCTTCACTGTAGGTCAGGGCAGTAGTGGTGCTTGAACTTTCTTCCTCTGCACACAGAGCACCGGTTGTTTTGCACTCGGTAGATGATAGAGAAGGATTCTTCAATGCTGGCTGGCTTTGTGGTCAGTTTGCACCAGATGGTCCAATATCAAACTGTTAGTGGTTTTCACTACACCTTTACTTAGTCATCCTGGGAGATGTTCTCGAGAGAGCACAAAAAATCAAGTTCCTAGAGCAACGGTCGATATAACTTGCTACACCACAAGCGCAGTTGAATTGGTAGATACAATTAGAAGTGGCTAACTAGTCTAGGTACTTCATCTTTCAGTCGAGAAATCATCATCGGTCGTGTAGAAAATAATATTTGAACTCAATTTCTTAACTTCTTCGTAATTATTTCGCTAGGTATATCAGCCTTGAATTGTAGTCGCATGTATAAAGACTACTTGATTGCGAATAGTGAATAGTTTTTTTCAAATTTCCTGGTCATTTGTTTGGGTCATTTGTTTCCTGATGAATTTGTGTGGATAGCTATTTTCAATCAAGTTATCATTTAAAATCCTTAGTACATCTTCAATTTACTCTTCTCAGCATATAGCTCTTACTCTGCGGCTGAGAGTCCTGACTGAATTTCATTTTGTACTGGATGGGAAGGAAGCTCTGAAAATGTGTACATTGTCTTGTTCATGTGCTTTTCCTATGCAAATTTCTCTTTATACTACCATCTAGTTTTCTTGTAGTGAGGACATCTAGGAAGGCAATTCTGTTTTGGGATTCCTCTTCACACGTGAATTTCATAGCAGAATGTACTTCATTGAATTGAGTTATTATTGCATTCCTATCTGAAGTATTATCACAATGAATGAAGGTATCATCCATATACTGGCAATAAAATAAGAACTTTCTGATGAGGTTATAAAAAGGCTCATTTTCTAGTTTCTTTTCAAAGAAATCTGCCGAAATGGGATAGAGGGTGGAAAGCCCATCGCCACCTTGTCCGCTTCTTTATAAAGTGTGCCATCAAATTTGAAATTTAGACTCATGGTACACCTTAATAACAATTCTTTTAGGATTTCTGTTAGGATGTCAATATTTATCGACTGGTTATTCACTTGTTCACATATGTATCTAACTGTTTCTGCTATAGGTACATCTGTGAATAAAGATTTTATGTCCAAATATATCATAGTTCTGTCCTTGATTTAAATATCTTTGATTGTGTCTACGAATCCTAATATATCTCTGACGCTCTGTTTCACTGTCTACTCATGCAAAGGTCTGAGAATGTTTACTAACAATATAGCTAGCGCATGGTAGGGCGAATTTCGCATATCAGGTGTTGGTCTTAACGTCATTTTTCAGTTTCTTTATTTCTTCTCTGGTCTCCTTTATCAAGAAACTTTTATTATCTATCGTATTTGACGTTTTTGTAGTGATAACTGCGACAACCCGCTAGACTAAATTTGAAGCGTTCGAGTTACATAATAATAATAATTTACTTTATTCCAAAAACAGTACTTATAATACAGAATAGAATTCTCAGTATTTGTCACAATATTGCATCTGATTTACTCACAATGGAACTAAATCCCTTGTCTGACTAAATAGGTTGTCAAATTCCCTGTCAGTATCTACATTATCGACCATTCTTTTGAAAAAAGGTTTAATGGGCATTTTTAATCAGTTGAAATATGATATATATTAGTTATAAAGTTCAGTTTATGTGATGTTTAAATAATGGGATCATGTTGGATTTGAACCAAATGTCTGTATTTTACAAGGAATAGAGACTGAGCTAAAAGACTGACTATTATAGTTTTCAGTAAATTGAATATTCCCACAATTCACTCAGAACAAAATAGTTAGAGAGAACAATTGTGGTTTCAATAAATTCCTCTTCAGGCTCTACAATTATAAATCCATTAATATAAGCATACAATAGCTAGTCAGTAAAGACAAATTAGAATCACATCAGAAAGTGTATTGTGGAACAAGTATAAAATGGGATGGAACAATAGTCAGTTAGTTTTTTAATATGTATGGTCAATGAGAACATGAGATACAATGAGATAAAAGAATTGAATTTAATGATGTGTGTATGTGCATACATAGATGTAGTCAACAAATACCGGTTTCGAGAGTTAGTGTAATGAGGGTGTGTGGTACAATATGAAAATAAACCAAAGAATGGGGCGGACTAGACTAGGTTGAAAATAAAGACAATAAGAATGATTGTAAAATAATAACGATAATTTGGTGTCAAATTAAGAGTAGTATTGTTGAGTGATTGTTAAATAATAATAATAATGAAGTGGAATGAACAGGATTTTGTCGATAAGATAACAAGTTAGAAAAGCACTACTTTAATCTAAGGTAGAAAAATCATAAGAAAAGTTAAAAAATCATAAAATTTGAAAATGAACGTTTGTCAGTGAAACTAAGGAACAAAAGAAGAAGAAAAGAAAATTGTGATAGGAATTTAAAGTGCTAAGGTTTATGGAGGATTTGTTGGCTTTATTGTAGGACAAGGTAAACATAGAGGTTGAACATACTTCTTCTGTATGCAAAGAGATGGTCTTCTGGTATCAGCTTCAGCTACTGATAGAAGACGTAGTCGAGCTCCTCTAGATAGATTACCAGCAAGGATGTGAATAACTGAGAACATCTGGTCAAGTTTTATCCAGTGTCCAGTATCTACCAATCGGGCTAAGATTTCACTATTTACACATTTGGTCACCCCTTTACTCAACCATACAGGTACATGTTCACGTGCGCGCATGTCTAAAGCCCACTGAGCACGGCCAATGTAACTAGCTCCACATGAGCAGTGGAATTTATACATACACATTGATGAGGCCATCTTTAGTAATTTATCCTTGACTCGCTGTGTGAGTACTGGTTTAGTTGAGTTGAATACCAGTTTAGCTGCAGGAAATGTTCTCTCTACTGCTCTGTTAAGTCTACATTTTAGAATGTCAGCTGCAATTTCCCCTTAACTTAAGATACAAAGGTTTCTTTTCTACGGTATCCACCTTTACCTTGTCTGCAGGTACTGACATATACTTTTTTAGGAAGCTCTGTGGATATCCATTTTCTTGTAGTGTGAGTTTCAGTTTATGCATTTCTTCCTTAATGCATTCTTCTGAACATATACGTTTTATTCTATAGCTTAGACACTTAACTGAGTTTCTTTTGTACTGAATAGGTGCGAAGCTATGGAAATGGGTGTACTGACCCGTCCTAGTTTTCTTTCTAAATAGTTTCCTTTGTAGATACCTGTCTGTCTTCATGCTAAGGACGACGTCTAGGAAAGGTAAACTGTTATTGTCTTCTTCGTCACATGTAAAGTGTATAGCTGGGTGAACACTATTAACACCGTTCATAAGCTCTTGTTTATTAAGATTTCTATCACAAACGATGAAGGTATCATCTACGTATCAACAATTATAGACAAACCCTTTAATCGTGTCTTTAAGTGTACCGTTTTCAAGCTTTGCCAGTAAAATATCCGCTAGCGTAGGGCTCAGAGGTGATCCCATGGTAACACCATCAACTTGTCTATAAAAACCATTGTTGAACATAAACTGAATATCCATAGTGCACTTCATTTATAATTCTCTGACATTTTCCGTTGGGATTCCTACATCTATCTTTCGTTCAACCAGTTGGTCACATATGTAGTTGACTGTTTTGAGCAGTAGGACGTTGATGAATAATGATGCTACATCTAGTGATATCATTTTCTTTCCTCTAACATTCAGGCTTTTGGTAGTTTCTACAAAGCTTAATACATCTTCCAAATGCTATTGCCAACCACTTTGCTGTAGAATGATAAAGAGATTGACACATATCTAGGATGGAACGTAGTGGTCTTCCGGTCTTGTGGACTTTCGGTAAACCAAGAACTCTTGGTGTATGCGTACCCGAGGGTTTCAATTCGTCGAGTGTATCCTTAGGAATCAGATTACTCTCAACTAGTCAATTTAGTGTCTTAGCCATTTGGCGTTCGGTTGCCTCAAATAAGTTAAGATTTATGAATTTCATGTTCAGCTTATTGATTCTCATTCGTAAATACGTATGTGCTAATTACACTAATATTCTCATTTCTCTTCATCTTCCTCTTCTTCTCACAGATCTATTTAGTGGTTATGGTCGTACTGATTTTCTTCATACCTGTGCTAATCATAATTTTAACTCACGCAATAATTATAAGAACAATATGGAACGTTAAAAGTTCTATACCCCGTAATAACATCTATGCACAAGGAAATTTCGCGAATAATCTAAATAATGAAGATAAGCGTTCAAAATTAGTTCAAAATGATGATGGAATAGGATATTCTAGAGTATCAGAGCCTAATACAGAAGCTAATAATCATTTTCAGCATAAAATGATTCCACGTGGCACAGATCAAATGAAGACAAATGGTCAAGAATGTCTATCGAGTAATATGCATGATGATACAACTGCAACTATCCACTGTCAAGAAACAAAATCACATTCTATTTCTGTAACAAAAAATAATCATTCACTGTTTGCCCGGAATAAACTTGACTGTAATAGTGTTTTTTCTCGAGCAAAAATGAAATCTATTCAGCTGACTTTTCTAATTGTTGCAGGTGAGATGAAATTTTTACTACATTTTCTGGGGATTACGCAATTTTTTTCTTGTATTCCTTTACGTTTCCAATAGAACATAGGACTTCAGGCTGCAGCTTCGAAGTTTCGGCAGCAGTGGTGTTTAATTTTAAAGGATGGAGTTGCTAGCCTCATGCCTAACCTTTCCTCTTTACCAGTCTCTACCACTGTGTCATCGACGCTGGGATTACGCAATAGATACTAAAATTCACACTATTATTTTTATCCCATATTTTGTGACTATATTTGTATAAATATACATATATATATATATACGTACACCAATAAATATGGCTTTACAGGCAGTCAGAAACGAACTCATTTCTGACCAAGAGCTCGAACTTAGAACGAAAGTGCCACTTGAGAACATAATGCTGGGAGTGCAGCTATGCCTGACTTCCACAGTATTTAAATTCCAAGGGAAAATATACAAAAAAACTGAGGGGGTTGCCATGGAGTCACCAATATCCCCGGCTGTGGCAGATATATTCACGGGTAGGAGGGAAAACATAGCGATTGAAACGTTCACTCCCACCCCAAGAGTATGCAGGAGGTATGTAGATGACATACTCATCATACTTAGAACACAGGATATAGATGGGTTTTTCGAACACCTTATCTCAAAGCTCGAATCAATTCAATTCACTTATGAACTGAAATGTCAGGAAGGGGAACTTCCAGTGTTAGATTGCAACGTAAAAAGGAAAGAAGATGGGAGGTTAAACACTAGTGTTTACAGGAAACCCACATATTCAAATACATATTTGGACATCCTATCATCTCACCCTATGTCAGTGAAAATAGGATTGGCGAATTGTTTAAGTGATAGAGCACAAAAACTAAGTAGTACCAAGGAAAATTTCCGACAGGAAGTGAGACATATGAAAGAAGCTTTGGAACTTAATAAATATCCTGGTAAATTAGTCAGAAGGTATGTAGGGAAATGGAAAAATAAAATAAATAATGATAGTAGTGATAGTGATAATAACAATAATAATATTAATGTTAATGACGACATGCATTTCAAACATGCGTGGTATAATTACAACACTAACAATAAGGAATCTTAATCATCACTAGTAATTCCATACAAAGAAAGAACGTAGAATTCTTAACAATACAGGAATAAAAGTGGCTGGCTTTCACACCACACACAAACTCAATTAGAAACAAGGTTTGTTGGTTAAATTATCACTCTTGTGAAGTCAACTAAACAAAACAATTTAGTTTATCTAATACCCTGCCTGCAATGATTGTCAGGTCAAATACATAGGTCATAGCAGTAGAACAGGGCTCAGTGAGTCAGACTGGCGGAGCATAAAAACCTAGTAAAATCTAGATCAGTTGACCCGACACGTAGATAAGAAGTCTAGAGAATAGTTCAGCTATAGCACTCACTCATGCAATTGCTCACAACCATAGAATAGGATGAGTGGGATAAGAAGACAGTTTTAAAATCTAATGTACGATGAGGGTGTAGGGAGAGATTGATTACAGTAGCTTTGTTTATCGAATCAACTGAATGAAAATACATGTAATAGGAATGATTCAACACCTGTCCACCCAGATATCAGGAAAATTCTACTACTCCTACGACAAGTAGGAAAGAACAAAGAAAACTATAAAAAACTCAAGTTTCGAAGTCGTGTGATTATGATTGATGGAATGATCATGAACAATAAATTTTGTTTGAAACTGTGCCATGCAGTGAGTAATACTGTTTCACTGTGTGTTAGATCTGCTAAACAAACTAACGTGGAATTACTTACTACCACAGTGCCTAAGTTTTACATATATATATACATATATATTGCAGTGTCAAATAATCCTAAATGCACAACTTAAAGTATGTTTCCAACTTCTTGATTATTAATAAATGTGGAAAACTTGGGAATTATGACATTAACTTATCCCACATTATAGACTACTGTTTTGCTTGAAGACACTACAATACATTTTTGTCCAGGAACACATCTTGATTCCTTCATATAGAGTTTTGTCGCTACAAGATGGAAAATATTCAACGTTTCTTTGGAAACAATATATTTTTGCACACGACAGTTTCGAATAATCTATTCAAATACAACTTAAGCAGACATAAATAATTAGAAGTACTAATAGTGATTATAAATTTCCACCTTTGTTCTTTAGACAGAACACAGACAAAAATTCTGGCAACTTATAATTAGTTAGGCAAAAGATATTTACGTCATAAACCATTTGTTAGTTTAGTCTGCCTTTGTATTGCCCATTACGAAGGCTAGTCATTTTTGTTAAAAATTACTTCTAGAACGTGATACTATTTGGTCAATGTACACCAGATTGCCTTCTTCTTTTTTTATTCTTCCAATGCAATAAATAAAGTAAGTTGCTTAAGTGTTTCATATCAAAACTGACTTTTCAAAATGCTTAAGTCAACTCTACCACTATAATAAACCAAATTACGAACGAACGAAATATCCATTCGGTCTCGGTGTGTGAATTTTCATCAACTCTCTTCGCCTTAGTGCTTATCTAACTTTTAAAATGAGTTCATAATGAACACACCCCTGTCATGTGTTTGATATCTACATCTGGTGAGATTACAGTGACATGATAAGTTTAGGGAAATTGAAATCTTTTGAACTTATTCAGAAAGGAGAATAATTAGAAGGCAGTATGTAAGAAGCGTGTCATAACTGCATTAAGAATAATGTACGAAATCTTTAGCTATCTTACTGTTGATATATAATTAGTAAACTTTACTGGTAATCGGAAGTCCTATCTTTGATGCTCCTTCTGCAAACCTGTTGCTTTTCACTTGCATATCTTCCAGCCTGTGGTGAAATCCATATCCTCCAAGTTTTTCGTGTGGGCCGATTTTATGTTTGTCTCCTCGTTGCCCTCCTCTGTCTGTCACATTATCCAGTCTACCGCAACCAGGAAAATCATTAGAGATAGTAAGCAGCCAACTTGTCTTACTCCCTTCTTCACTTTGAAGGGTTCCATGAGTTTCCCGTTGTGGATTGCATGGAATGCAGCATTGTCCTAGAACTGCTGGATGAGATATGTGATTGTTGGTGGCACCCCTTGGTAGTTGCGAAATAGTTTCCAAATCACCTCTCGATCGACGCTGCTCTGCCAAAGGCCTTTTCAAAGTCGATGAATTTGAGTGAGATGGAGAGCTGACTGCCATTCCAAGCCCTGTTCAATGATAATCCGTAGTGCTGCAATTTGATCGATGTATGATTTGTCCCTCCTGAATCCAGCCTGTTCCTGTCGTAGTTTTTCATCCAGGGCGTGTTTGATTCTCTCTATGATGATGTGGCTTAGTATTTTGCTTGGGATGGACAGTAGCATAATTCCGCGCCACTTCTTGCATTGACCTAAGTTCTCTTTCTTTGGCACTTTGAATAAGGAGCCTTTCCTCCAATCAGCAAGTACCTTACCCTCTTTACACATCCTATCCAGTGGTGGTGTCATCAAGTCCGCTGATGTCTATAAGTCCATTTTCAATGCTTCTAGTGGGATTCCGTCCGATCCTGCTGCTTTTCCAGTTATTAGCATCTTGATTGCCTCCAGGATTTCTGTTTTTGTCAGAGGGTTGATGTCCACTGGTCGTTTTGCTTGCGCTGTTGGTATTATTGGGCGCGTTGTAGGTGTCGGTCTGTTTAGGAGTCTTTTGAAGCATTCACCCCAATGTTTGCTTTGCGCCACCTCATTGGTGACTGACTTTCCACTGTCATCCTTCACTGGCTCAATTCGAGTTGAACTTTAACCCGATAGGAACCTGGTTGTTTACTAGAGTGTTTCGAGGTCTCCTTTGCTTGCACTGCGGCTTGTTCTGCTTCACTTGCCATAGCTTCATAATATTTTCTTTTGTTTTCCCTGACACTCTTCTTTAGGCTTTTGTTCAGTGTCTGGTAGCCTGCATTCAACTCCTGTTTTGTTGCTCGTCGATGCACTGGAAAATCTTTTGTCTCACCATCCTTCTCTCTTCTACTAGTCTCCATGTGTCTGTAGTGAGCCACTCTTTTTCCTGTATCTTCTTCCTGCTTAGAACTTCCATGAAGGTTTGACTCCACTCTGCTTTCAGGCTGTTCCAGTGTTCTACATTACCCTTTTTGTATTTAAAACAATCTCTTGACTCTATGGCTACCTAACGGCACTGTGCAAGTAATTTTGAATTTTTGATATCCATATTATTGAATGAAACCATAGAGATTTTAGCAGCGAATCATTGTGGTTTTGCTGTCTTTGTAGCATTTTATGCCTGTGCGTTTCTGAAAGAAGTTTGAGAGAGAGCTATATCTTACAACTCAAAGATCGGTTTCCTGCCTTCTGATTACAATGAGTAAGGCTTAATCTCTACAGGTGTAAGGATGTCATACTGGTTTTCAATATTTCACTGATCTTTAAGAAAGGTTGTTTGACGTTTATCTTCGGATTTTGTCTTCAAAGACTGGAATCTTATCGCACCTAGGAAAGCTAATGGTGGAATTACTTTACGTCCAAAAACATATGATAATCGATTCAAAATGATCGGTTACTTTCTTTGTGTTTTTTGCACGGAATAACCCTAATGTTGCTACGAGGTTGAGAAGGAAGGGAAATCAAAAACTAGCTGGGCAGAGTTAAACCTTAAGCACCGCCAAATGCCAATCAGCGAATGACCTCGAACTCACCAATCATTTTGTGTATGGAATACATATATTTATGAAAAAAATGCTTAAAATCTGTATAAAATTGTTACAGAGGATAGCTTCCTCTCTCATGTGATAAAAAAAGTTCTCAGTTTTAGTTGATATAAGAATAAAACTTGTGCACTGTGGTAGAGTGTAATTCCATTATGGGTAAATTCTCAGTTTTAGGTTGGAGCATCAACTGAGTATAATTCCATTGTGGATACAATTTATTTCAATGAAGTTTCATAGTGTTATACAGTATTATTTACTGGGCAATAGATTGTGCTTGAAACGTCATCAGTAGGTGTTACTGTATAATAATACTGTGAGAATTTATCAAAATAGATTTTACATACAATGGAATTATACTCTAACACAGTGCATACGTTTTATTCTTATATCAACAGAGTAATTTAACCACATCCTAGGGATGTAATTACTTAGGTCTCCTAACCCTAACAATAACCCTAATATTTCCTAACGTGAAAATATGCCTAATCTAAACCTAAGCTAACCTCAACTAACTCTAATGCAGCCTTCAATAGGTTAACCTAATGTTAACTTGCCATTGGCCTAAACCTTAACTTTTTTTTTCCTTCACGTTCCCAAGTGGAATATAGGGCTTCAAGTTAGTGGCTTGAAGTTTCTGTAGCAGTGTTTATTTTACAGAATTGCGTTATTGGCCTCATGCCCAACCTTTCCTCTTCACCAGCATTATTTCTGGATTAGCGAAGTAAAGGAGTGAGGCGGCCCGGTATCGAACCCCGAACCATGTGTATGGTCGGCGAGAGTCCTAAGCGCTATGCCACCGACGCTCAAACCTCAACTTAATGTTTCCCAAACCTAAGGTGAAACTTGTCAGATATCCAATTTAATAGCATACCACTTCAAAGAGCTTATTTTATTGGTGACGACAGCGTTATTTGCCAAGTTTCACTAACTTGCTCAATGAGTGTTTTCAAGGTCATTGGTGCGGTCGTACTCCATTGGTAGTTAGTGGTGCTTAAAGTTTGGCTTGGGTAATTATTGTTGTTCGTAATGCGATCTTGCTGTAATTGTCTTCTCTGAGCTGGATGATATATTTGTAAAGTGTTCGTTAGCTTTCCAGACAACATCTTCAGCGTATACTTCAATTTGAAGTAGATTTCACAATCCCACTAAGACAGTATCTAGTTGCTTATTTTCTAATTTCTTCTGATAATTATGACACTTTAATTGTCCTTTTTCAAAATGACAAACTGTGATAGTATTATTTATCCAAAAGGGACATTGTTGCTTTCCTTTTCAGTTTTCATTGCCTGCTGGCTACCTTACATGCTTTGGAATTTTGTAATTACTCTCGGTGGTATTCAAAGGATGCAACTTTCATTAAGGTATACATCTGTTGTATTCAATGTGAGTTCTTGTATTATTTTATGTTTAATGATAATGTAATATTGATCACAAGATTTCATCATCAGCTGACATTGGTAAGAGAACCATTGGGAAACCTGAGGTAACTGGACAGCTGTTTCACTCTAGTTTGAGAATCTTCATCAGAACGCACGCACTGGGGTTCGAACCCAGGAACTTCTGGTTACAAGGCGAGTTCGTAGACCACGAAGCCAATGGGACCCAACCCAAAGGCCCATAGCGGTCGCGCTATGTCGTGAATTGGTGGATGTTAGAATTCATGGACTGGCTATTGGATTGGGTCCCAGTGGATGAATGGTACACGAGCTCACCTTGCACTGAGAAGGTCCTAAGTTCGAACCCCGGTGGGTCTCAAACTAGGACGAAATATCCACCCAGTACTCTCAGGTTCTCTAACCATTGTCAGCTCATGATGAAATCCTGTAACCACTCAATCAAATCCCTACAAATCAATACTTGAATGACAGTGTAATATAATTTGGCTTTTATACTGATGAAAAGTTGAGAGATTATATTTGGTTATCTTATAGTTACACTTTCCATTAGAGGTAACTGGTTGATCACTGTGATTTTGATGAATACCGGAGATGTGGTATTCAATAATTCTAAAACTATGGCACAGAGACACCATACATATATTATTATTATTATTCATTTTCGTTGTCCAAAGTGGAGCATGGAGCTTGATCAGTATACCTTCATTGCACTCCCTTCATTCCCACCAGTTTAAACTAGCTCGGTGATTACCTAAACGTAATAATTTCCTATTCAAACGATATCCTTCATCCTACCCTAGTTTGATAATAAAAGTGTTCTGTACTGTGACGATTGGATTGTACATTTTGAATTCTACTGTAGTCATCGTGAATCTGAACGGAAAGTGTGGCCGTTGATAAAAGGAAATGCCTGTCATCCGATGATTCAAACAAATTAGTACAAATGTACACCTATAATTGTCTCTTTGCACAGCTTTACCTTCGACATAAAAAGCAGAAAAACAGAACAAATGACTCTGTGTGTGAGTTATATACTGGATAAGAGAGACGACGCCAGATGATTTAAGTCTCATGTGTCACAAACTCGAAGATTAACGAGAGTAAACTAACAAACTGAAGGATGAGGCAACAAACACAAACACACACACAAACAATTGATGAAGATACCAAGTGATCAACATAAGAGCAACAACAAGTACCAATCATCATGAATGCTTGAAACCTAGATGAATGTTTCTCATTCACTTATACAGACAGTAACTTTTCCAATATAGGCAATACGGATGCGGACGTGAAAGCTACTCAAGATTGAATCAGGAAAAATCTAGATAGATGTTCATTAATCCGAAATAAATGTGCAGTTGTACAACATATAGCAGAAATAATAAGGATTCCACTGTTCACCAAACTAATGTTAAGTCAATACACCTAAACTATTTCCAGAAATATCCAATCTTTACTTCTCTGTATTGAATATAAGAAAACCGAAAAAGATAAAACAAGCAGGGAAGGTTAATAAAGCAGGATTTAATGAATTCATCAAATTTCGGCAGAACTCGTCAGCTGAATACTCTACATACACGGATATATATACTTTTGAAATTACATAAGGAGATATAAGACTGATAAGCAAATAAACTTCATTGAATTAGTCATGCAGAAAGACAGGTGTGAATGTTTTCCAGGTCATGCTCAAATAGATAAGAGGGGAGGGAGTATGAGAGATCAAAATTAAGATAAATTGCATTACGCTTCAATTACATCACTCAGATAAACAATTAGTCATTAGACAATATGTCAAGAATTGAGAAGAGAGTAATATCAATAGTAATACTTATAATAATAATAATAATGTTGAAGTGAGTTAAGATAATGCTACTGAAAAAGGATAGTTTTAAATGAATCAAGAATAATAATAAGAATGATAATAATAATAATAACAATAAGTAAAACGTATTACCATGGTAGATTCAGAGTGACGACCATCTCTTTTTGTACACAGAGACCTGAGTTATAAACTCGATTTGTCACGTCATTCACTGTTATCAGCAGATAAAGAAACAGGAGGATACCTGCAATTGCAGAGACATGTGCAATTAAAGTTTATAAACCAGGTCTCTATGTACAAAAAGAGATGATCGTCACTCTGAATCTACCATGGTAATAACTTTTATTTATTATTCTGCCTCTTATTATTATTAATCTTGATTGATTCATAAACTATCCTTTTTCAGTAGCATTATCTTAACTCACTTCAACATTATTATTATTATTATAAGTATTACTATTGATATTACTCTCTTCTCAATTCTTGACATATTGTCTAATGACTAATTGTTTATCTGAGTGATGTAATTGAAGCGTAATGCAATTTATCTTAATTTTGATCTCTCATACTCCCTCCCCTCTTATCTATTTGAACATGACCTGGAAAACATTCACACCTGTCTTTCTGCATGACTAATTCAATGAAGTTTATTTGCTTGTCAGTCTTATGTCTCCCAATGTAGTTTCAATAGTATTTATATATATCCGTGTATGTAGAGTATTCAGCTGACGAGTTCTACCGAAATTTGATGAATTCATTAAATCCTGCCTTATTAACCTTCGTTGCTTGTTATATGAGGTAGATTGGTTGAAATTTCTTCACCAACCAGTCCGTTAGTGATGATGCGACTCCTTAAACGAAATTATTCAGCAGCACATTCACACATGGAAACTGTGGAATCCTGAAAACCACTGAATTTAACATTTAATTTTACATTTTATAGAGGTGAGCTTTACACTGAAAAGCATTAAGACTGCTGATCACATAGTTCAGGATAATATATATTTATTTTTATGTTAAATGATTATATTGTTTGTGCACTCTAAGTAAATCAACTGCCCTTGAAAGAAATTTGATTTTCAGACAAAGTTATCTGTGTCAAGCCAAATAAAATAAACAACAGCCTTACAGACATCACTGTTTGCCATCAAATCAAATGACAACACTCTGCACTAGCTTGAAGATAGCTGCATAAGTTCTGGTATTCACCTTTGCTTAGAATAATAATGAACATGTTTAAAGCTCACTTGATACACACACATCTAAATTGCATCTTGGTTGAGGGAAAAGAATACAACGGCAAGTACTTCCACAGTTCAGAATTTATCATAAAGTGAATTTATTATCAAAACATCCTCATCTTGGCTTGAGGCAAATATTCCCTGATAGATTCTTGTATCTCAAACTCTATCTAGCCTCCCAATGGACCAATACTCATTCGGCTCTAATTATTCCATGATCTTGATTCTTGAAAATGGGGATTATTAAGGGTTTGTATCAGCCTCTTTTGTATGTCTTCGATTCTCATACACCGTAAAGTGCCCAAATGAATAAATCTACTAATCTGAGTACGTACTTACGATGATTCCTAAACTAGGATGGGGTAGTTGTCCGGTACTCCGTGGTTTTCAGTGGTTCTCCAACTGATATCAATCCGTGGTCAAACTCGTAAAAATAAATCTAATCCTAACAAACCAAATCTTGACAACTACTAATCTCTTATTAGCTCGCTTTTACATCTTCACACTTAAGCCATTAGGTTCTGGTGTTTTCTCTCCCCTCAAATATGAAGTATATTTCTAAATTTTGGCTATATTTGATGGACTCAAACCCATTTATCTTCGAGGCGGTAGTTGGATAGTCTATTTATATATATCCGTGTATGTAGAGTATTAAGCTGACCAGTTCAACCGAAATTTGATGAATTCATTAAATCCTGATTTATTAACATTTATTGCTTGTTTTTAATTCGTATCGGGAAATTAATGTTTTCAATTCTCGGGAAGGAATCTACAGAGCAACGAATCAGTCAACAAACGTTTAGGAGAAAAAATCTGGACAGAAATAAGCATGAATTGGAAAAAGAAGAGAGCACAATATATATATATATACATCTGCTGCTAAAGCCATATGTTCCATTCAGGATGCGACAAATGAGCAAGAATATTGCGATGACTTTTTCATTCATTTTAACCCTAATTCATATTTACTTACAGTTAACACCACTTTAGGTATTATTGATTGTTTCATCTATTTTTATATTTTGTATATTTTTATCTACAAGCAACTAGTACATTTGAATGCTGCGGCAAATCCAATCGTCTTCTGGTTATATCATGTTCGTCGGTATAAAAATCCAAACGCTTTACCATATGAAAGAAGACGAAGTGGGGGAAGAAGGCGAAACGGGAGGGGAATAGGAGGCATATCAGCTACTGTATCTTTAAAAGAAAAAATGACACCACACTGTGAACGATGAACGATGAATAAGAATTCTACTGCATTTTCAACATTTTGTTCTTTTTTTAGATATTTCAGAAGAGAAAATAAAAACCTTTACATCAATCTCATGATTTATTGAAAGTGAATTCATCAATTTTGTACAATTAGCTCATTATGTATACATATGTTTTGTAAAATTATACTTTTTCTGTCATGAAAAAAATCACATCTGTTTATTTGAATATTTATAAGTGGAATGTCTAACTTTCCATTTATGCATGAATGGATTTTTGGTGAACTCCTATTAAGAGTGTTTCAAAAGAGTATTACAATGTAAGCCTAAAATAGATTTATGTAGAAGAGAAAAGAGAGTTAGGCATAAACTTGTACAAGATAAGTAATACTAATTTTAACGTCATTTATTTTCATTATATGTACGATATTTAAATGAATATGTAGTAACTTCTTCATTCACAATGCCTCCATGATGACAGTACATCCACTGCGGGTAAAATTTATTTTCCAGTATTGGTTTGTAGGGATTTGATTGATTGGTTACAGGATTTCATTATAAGGTGACATCGTTTAGAGAACCACTGGAAAAGTTGAGAGTACTGCAAGACAACTGTTTCATCCTAGATTAGGATTCTTCAACAGCACCCACCCACCGCCAGGGTCCGAACCCAGGACCCTCTCGCTACAAGGCGAACTCATAGACCATTGAGACTCTCGGACTCGATCCAATGGCCAGTCAATGAGTTCTAACGTCTACCAATTCATGACATAGTGTAACCACTTACCAATATCTTTGTTGAGTAAAGGTCCTCATCCTCGACTTGCAGTATCCTGCTGGTCACAGCTTTGCTCTAGAACGCCAGGTATTTACCTTCCTGATTACAGACAATCTCTAGCAGGCATCAGATGAATCTTCAAGAATTGGTTTTGTAAGGATTTTGTTTGATTGTTTCGAGGATTTCATCATGAGGTAACTTCGGTAAGACAACCACTCTAATTTTTACTTTGATAAAGTCTCACAGTTTTATACAGTCATATTCTTTGATGACGTTTCGAGCACAATTTATTACTGCTCATAATCATATCAAGGCACCACTCACACAACTTTCTAACTTCGTTTATATAATTCCATTATTTTTCATCGCTTGATTTGATTGGTAGTAGTATTTTCCATATCTCTAGTATTTACAAAATGTTATTCTTATTACATGCGTTGGGTGTAGATTCGATGAACAAAGACTCAGTAATCAATCTCTCTCTCTCCACCTACATAGATTACTTCTTAGAATTTTAACCCTCTCCCACCCTATTGTGTGGTTGTGTGTTGATGCATGCAGTGCAATTTAGTGCTGAATTTTCTTCCCTGTACTGGTGAGTTTATATGTGTGAAGAAGCTAGAGATATGTTCTGTTTCTAACACCGTGAAAGTGTCATCCATATATCTCCACCACATTTTTGGAGTAGGATTACATGTATTAAGAGCGGTATTTCACCAGCTATCCATATAGATATCTGATGTGATTGGAGGTATTGATGATCCCATTGCTACACCTACTGTTTGTATATTTATGTTTCTATATGATTTAAAGATAGTAGACGTGAGGCATAATTGAATTCCTAAAATAATTTACTCAATGGGTGGCTTCGTCCTATGAATAAGTTCATCATTGGCCATTAGTTCTCTGCCAACTGCTTCCAATGCTATATTGTTTGGAATAATAGAATAAAGACTAGTTATATCAAAATTCTAAAAAGTAATCTAGGTAGGTGTAGAGAGAGGTTGATTACTGAATCCTGGTTCATTGAGTCTACACCCAACACATACAATAGGAATGACTTATCACTCACACCGGAAATATGGAAAATAATACTACCAATTGAATTAAGTGATGAAAAATGATGGAATTACATGAATGAAGTTAGAAAGTTGTGAGTATTTTGATGTGATCATGAGGAGTAATAATTTGTTCTCGAAATGTCACCAAAAATATTACTGTATAACACTGTGAGAGTTTATAAAAATTAATTTTATCCGCAATAGAACTAAACTTTACCACAGTTCATAAGTTCTATTCTTATATTTTGATATATATTTTGATATATTTTGATTTACAGCTTGATTCCACACCGTATTTTCAGTACAAGTATGGAATTTTCAGCATGGATATCGGTTGCCCAAATTCAGGCATACCATAGATATCGGGTGTGCGCCGGCAGGGTATCGAACCCCGGACCATGTGCATGGTCGGCGAGAGTCCTAACCAATGACTGTACTACCTTTTGAAGTATCTACGCTACACTTATTGCAATCGGCTGCACATATGGTGCCTAAACAGTAAAGGCCATTAGGAATATGATCTCCTGTCAGATATATTAACTGCATACGCTTGGTTACCAAAAACGCCTGCTACAAACTAAGGGCATGTGGAATTATTGAAGTCACAAGACTTACATCATCCACTTCACTTATTTTACAAAGTTGAAGATGAAAAATAAAAAAATTGCGGAGATCATTGGGCAGATGAAATACTGTTTAACAGTAATGATTAGAGAGTTATTACTCAATATGCGAAAAATGAGACTTCCCTTTTAGCGACCCAAATACACTCGTTGGGTATGAGTGTGTTCTCATTTATTGCTTTACGTTCCCACAGAAACAAAGAGCCTCAAGTTGGAGCTTTGAAGTTTCCGTAGCAGCGGTATTTATTTTTACGGGATGAAGTTGCAAGCCTGAAAACCAACCTTCCCTCTTTACCAGTCTTATTACTGTCTTGGCGACGTAAAGGAGTGCGTTGGTGGCTGGCGTTCGGCTAGCTTAAAGAGATCTCTGACTACAGTAATGGGTGACACGGGTTCCAATTTCAGAAGGGACATGAGTTCCTTCAAAGTTGCAGATACGCCTTGCTGACTAGTGAGTGCCAACTAGCTGGGGACCTAGGTCTGAGGCTTCCTGGCTCAAAAATAATATCATCAGAAACTCAAATCTACCCCAGGGGTGAAATACTTCCAAAATGCGTGGGGTCAAATCCTCTGTACAATGGAATTATACAACAAGGATGCCCACAGACATTGCAATGTCAGAATTACCTTTATTCACACAAAACAAAATCACAACATAAGACAGTTAAATATCAGTGTACAAACAACCACAATGAAAGGCATTCAAGAATTTGATGTTTAACAAGGTCAGATAGAAATAACAAAGATCAAGTGGACATATGATATCCAAATGTCAGGAGAATTACATACAGTTTAGAAGGGAAATGGATAATAGTTACAAAGTTAGTTGAAACATGAGACTAGATCGTGCTCGAGGGATTTTCCAAACAGTTATACCGTGACATCCACTACTAGCGTACATTATGAAGGCAGGCAGAAATTTAAAAGGACTACAGCGTGTAGCGTTAGAAATCATTCAAACTCTAGATTAATCAAATCACAAGTAATGAAGAAGACATTCTTATAACATGACATTTTTATAAGAAATATTTAAAAAATGACCAGTTTTGATGCATTTAATCTCTATAATTATATACCAACGAATATGGCTCTGAAAGCCGTCAGAAGAGAAATAACTAGTGAGTCTAGCTCACTTATAGAACAGAGTTACCCATTAAAGGAAATAATTCTGGGAATTTAGTTGTGTCGCAAGCCTACAATTGTCGAATTTCAGGGCGAAACTTACAGAAAAACTAAGTGAGTTGCAGTGGGATCATCAATATCCCCAATCGCAACAGATATTTTTATGGATAGTTGGAAAAATATGGCTCTCAGAATACTTAATTCTACCCCAAAGGTATGTTTGAGGTGTGTGGAAGATACCTCTGGTTAATTCACACATTTAAACTCAGTAGTCGAGGGAACTAAGTTTACATTTAAGTTGAATAACTGAATCATGAGAGTCAAATATGCCCGATATTAAGACGAAACTATTAGCAGAAGGTCAAAAGTGCATTCGTGTTTATAAAATGTCAACAGATTCCAATAGATATCCAGACTTTAAGTCATCTCATCCGAAATCTAGTAGGTATCTGTCATAGTGAGAGGAACCTAAAATCGGTACATCAGGAAACCCAAAAAATGAACTGAAACAGATAGAAGCACTGCTCCTAAACAATTGATGTGTAGACAGATAAGCAATGGATTATCTTTTTATCAGTGGTATGGTGATCAAGGTCAGTCTGGAAATAAACCAGTCAGAATTGTCCAACGTAAAATAACTCTCGCTGTTTTATTGATCATGATTATAGACTTATCGACAATGTCCTTGGTGACTTTACATTATTGTGTAAGATGTTTTTTGATTAACAAGGAAGTATGAACTTTTCCGCTCACGTCGTTATGTGTTATTGATTAATTGGAGCGGCATGGTGAACAGGTAGATGTTGCATACGTTCTTGTCATAGTCAAGCGGTATTCGTGAACATAGGATCTTTGGCAGACTTGGTATACATACTTCAATCTCAGTGTTATTACGAAAGATTAAGAATGGTGACATTGTAAAAACAGCCATCCCATACAAAAATTAAGAGATTCAAAAAGGTTAACAATAAAAAAGGGAAAGTTGTAGTGAAACTGCTGATCACAACATAAGAAGTAATTAAAGGTATCTACCTTATTTCCACGTAAGAAAGGGATATCTGAAACCCTACGAAGAACTCCTAATAATCAAGTATTGATTTGTAGGGATTTTGTTTGATTGGATGGAGGAGTTTAACATGAGATGACATCGGTAAGAGAACCATTGGAAAACCTGGGAGTACTGGACAGCTGTTTCGTCCTAGTTTGGGACTCTTCAGTTGTATGCACTCACCTGGGTTTGAACCCAGGACCTTCTCGTTACAAAAAGAGCTCATAGACTATTGAGCCTTTGGGACTTGATCCAATCCCTCATCAATTGTTACTTCTTCCAATTCGTGACTCATAACTTAGCGAAGAAGATATTGCGAAGTGGTCGCGCTATGTGATGAATTGGCAGAAGTTAGAATTCATAGACTGGCCACTGGATCAGGTCTCATTGGCTTAGTGGTCTACAAGCTCGTTTTGTGACGAGAGGGTCCTAGGTTAGAACCCTAGCGGTGAATGCGCACTGCTAAAGAGTCCCAAACTAGGACGAATCAGTCATCCAGTACTCCCTGCAGGTTTTCCAATGGTT